CTTTTTTTTGTATTTTTTCACATTGATAACAATCTTCCCATTACTGAGCGGTCATCCATAACAGTGTCATAGTGAGACTTGAATAAGTTTTTGTAAGAAAAGCGCCTGGAAAGCACGCGAGCTGTTCTGGTATAAATTTGGTCTGGAATCTTTAAATACTCGAGTCCTGGAAGCTGACTGTAGAGACTGACATCGTTGAATTTGTCGACAGCTGAAGATTCTACTCCTACTGAGTGAAGAAGGATCTCTCTTCGTGGCCGGTCTGATTCCTTCTCTGAAAGCGACGAAACTCCTGAAGTGTCAAGTTAGTAAATCCATGGTCGTTTGATCCTTTAAACCTATGAGTAATTATCTGTTTGAATTAGTCATCTCTTTTATAACGTTTTCACTTCAAAAAAAAAATGTATCTGCTACCATTCAAACACATGTATATAGGACACACTACTGAGTACCGGGAATAATTCCCTTAGTCATAACGTTAATATTTTCAGCTCTCATGGCCGGCGAGGAAATCTTATAGGGGGTCAGATCACCACTATGAAGTCTGCTCTGAGTCTTTCTCTTGGCTTTTGCTGTTACTAGCTCAAACTATCTAATTAATCCTAGCTATCGAAGCTTTTATTATATTCATAACTGTTAATTGTTAATACTAAAGATAAATAACATGTTTAGGTTTAATTTATTGGACAGTTTCAGCTGAGCTGCTTGTGGTCCGAGAAATACAGTAAAGAGTCCTGAATGAGGGACTAGCTTCTAAATTTCGCATATTTCGGAAGATTCGAAGGCCTGTAACTGTGTTTGAAGACATTACATGGAATAGATAATTTAAAGTAATATTTCAAGAACAAATCCAAAATATGCCTCTACACATATGAGCAAAGGACTAGAACAAGACCAGGGCTTTTCTAGGATATGATGAATCTCTTGTAACATGGCCCTGTTTAGCTGTTTGTTTTGTTACGTTTGTAACGTATTTACCACAACGTGGTAGAATAGAAAGACAACAGAACATTGAAGTTTGTAAAACTACATAGCGTGAAAGAATGAATCCGCAACACGAAACATACTAGCGCACGTGTTACACGCGATTTCGTCCCCAGGTGGCGTGGTTCAAAGCCCACCTCAAAGCAATCATGTTGATATTGATTATTTCGTTGTCTGTTGTCAGTTTTTAATTATTATATCTGTGTAAAATTTACTCAACATTAACTGTTTTCAGCGTCAGCATACACACAATGTAAATTAAAGTTGAACATATTACACCTCACATGTATGTTATCTCCATGTTCCGACCTTGAACCCCAGTTTATCTTCAAGTCTCGTCACATTTAATTGAAACGCATGCAAATGTTTCAAATTTCGATCATAGCAACTAGCAAAAACATGAGCCAAAACCCCTTCCCTCCTTTCAATGTTTGAAAATGGCAAAATGCATTCTTGTGTCCGTTCACATTGCACTGGGGTGAACAGGGGCAAAATGTGTGAAAACTGAAGTGTTTCAACAAAGGCTTGTTGCTTACGATTTAAATCAAGGCTTAGGTAGATTTAAATGGGTCAAAATGAAAAATAAATAGCATCAAACACACACAAAAAGCAAGCATATAACAAGACATACAAAGAACACAGGTTAGTCATTTTCACAACTGAGATATTTTGAATAGAGAATACTTAATTGAAGGTCAAAACCATAATAACAATAAAACTGTTGGAGCGATCTGTGCTCATAGTTCTTTAAAAAACGTTTAAAACAGATCTAATTTTAATAAGCTTTTAATAAGCAGAAGAAATTGGAAATCTCGGGGGCCCGAACACAAGCCCGGAACCAATGGAAATGTCAATTCCGCAATTAAACAGCATGCGGAAACCGGCCACGATATACATCCTATTTACGCCAACATTCTTGAAACAGGTGTGAGCGGCAAGAACAAAAGACTGTTTCTGGAATCCTTGCACTCTTTCTTAGACAAAAACTCCGTAAATGAAAGAGCACCCTTCCCAAGGGTTTACGCTTCACTGGTTGCCTCCCTAGGGGGCAACGAACAATAACGTCCCAGCTTATTAAAATTCTGTGAATCGCGCGAAATCATCATTCTCTGAAGAAGACCGCAGAAGGCGGTCGAAATTTAGAGACAATTTTACTTTTTTAGATCTGTTTTAAACGTTTTTTAAAGAACATAATAACAATGCACATATTAAATCTCATTGAGGTTACAAGGGCACTGAACTCTAGGAATACGGTAGCTAGAATCTAGTTATTAAAATCTATTTAAGAGTGCCTGCCTGTAAAAATCAGACAAATTCTTAATTTCGCGGCAAGGGTCGAAAATTCCATTTCGCTCATATTCTTATGGTAGATAGGCT